AGCAGATTTTCTCCATTTTGGGGCTAGTGATTTTCTTTTTAAAAATCCTTTTAAAAAGTGCTTCAAAATCGTCTTTTTTTTTCGCTTTGGCGTCGAGATCCGGTTTTGGAGCTGCAATTTCCGACCCAGTTGCGCGTATTTCTATTGTGTTTTGCAACTCAGTCTCTGCAGATCGCATTGTGATGGTTGCGTCAAGGTTGCTTGGCGCCGCGGCTGCATGCGTAATACTATTGTCTTTTGCAGCTGGACTTCGTAAATCGTATTGGAGTGGCTGCATGAAGGCTGCGACAGTGATTTGTCAGCAGATTTTCTCCCTTTTGGCGCCAGCGATTTTCTTTTTAAAAATCCTTTAAAAAGTGCTTCAAAATCGTCTTTTTTTTTCGCTTTGGCGTCGAGATCCGGTTTTGGAGCTGCAATTTCCGACCCAGTTGCGCGTAGTTCTATTGTGTTTTGCAACTCAGTCTCTGCAGATCGCATTGTGATGGCTGCGTCAAAGTTGCTTGGTGCCGCGGCTGCATGCGCAATACTATTGTCTTTTGCAGCTGGACTTCGTAAATCGTATTGGAGTGGGTGCATCAAGGGTTTGACAGTGATTAGTAGTAGTGCTGGGAATTGATTAATGAAAGCTTAATAGATGACATATGAGAAGGGACGAGATGAGAAGAGATGAGCTGGGATAAGGTGAGAAGAGCTCAGATGAAATGAAGTGTGGAGTGTGAAGAGTGCAGTGTGAAGTGTGGGGCGTGAAGAGTGCAGTGTGAAGTGTGAAGTGTGAAGTTTGGAGTGTGAAGGAAGCAGTGAGAAGTGAGAAGTGTGAAGTGTGGACTAGTGTGAAGTTTGGAGTGCAAAGAGTGCAGTGTGAAGAGTGCAGTGTGAAGTGTACAGTGTGAAGGAAGCAGTGGGAAGTGAGAAGTGTGAAGTGTGGAGTGTGAAGTTTAAGTTTGGAGTGCGAAGAGTGAGTGTGAAGTGTGAAGTGTGAGGTTTGGAGTGTGAAGGCAGCAGTGAGAAGTGAGAAGTGTGAAGTGTGGACTGTGAAGTGCGAAGTGAGAAGTGTGAAGTTTGGAGTGTGAAGGAAGCAGTGAGAAGTGTGAAGTGTGGACTGTGAAGTGTGAAGTGCGAAGTGAGAAGTGTGAAGTGTGAAGTTTGGAGTGTGAAGGCAGAAGTGAGAAGTGTGAAGTGTGAAGTTTGGAGTGTGAAGGAAGCAGTGAGAAGTGAGAAGTGTGGAGTGTGAAGTGTGGAGTGTGAAGTGTGGACTGTGAAGTGTGGAGTGTGAAGTGCGAAGTGAGAAGGAAGCAGTGGGAAGCGAGAAGTGTGAACTGTGAAGTGTGAAGTGTGGAGTGTGAAGTGTGGAGTGTGAAGTTTAAGTTTGGAGTGCGAAGAGCGCAGTGTGAAGTGTGAAGTGTGAGGTTTGGAGTGTGAAGGCAGCAGCGAAAAGTGAGAAGTGTGAAGTGTGAAGTGTGCAAGTGCGAAGTGTGGAGTGTAAAGTGTGAAGTTTCGAGTGCGAAGAGTGCAGTGTGAAGTGTGGAGTGCGAAGTGTGGAGTGTGAAGACTTTGCTTCGTCTCTCGCTGAAAAAAAGCCGCTTGTCGAGGGAAGGACACGGTCGGGACAGGCTGGCGTCGAACTATAGGTCATTTATGTTTGGGAAACTTCCGCCGCCGGCTTGCCCGGGTCTATGTTATTGGGGTTGCTTCTGTCGACTTTCTTTATCATGGGGGATAGAGGGGTATAGTTTGATTCCTCCCGTCCCTGGGTCAGGTCAACAAAAATGGTGAAGCGGCTGAGGACTTTGTGACCCGATCTGAACAGCTCAGCTTTAAGAAACACAACAAAGGCAAGAAGGGCAAAAACAAAGGCAAGAACAGCAAATCCAAGAAAGGAAAGGGCAACAAAGGAAAGCCTATGAAATCTCGGAAGAGGCAAATTCTTGCTGCGGCAAGCCCCAAGAAAACCAAGAAAAGTCAGGAGCAGCAGGATCAGGAGGTTGAGAACTCAGAACAATCCAAGCCTCGGAAGAGGAGGTGTAGAAAGGAATCCCCTGCCCCAGTTGCCAAGGTGTCAAAGGCATCCCGCAAAGCGAAAGCACATGCGACTCCCACAGGGGGGTCAAAGGTATCCCCCAAAGCCAAAGCGAAGGCATCCCCCAAGGCCAAAGCAAAGGCATCCCCCAAAGGAAAGGCCAGGAAATCCAAAGCAGCAGCAACGGACCAGGAGCCCCCTGAGGAGAACCAGCCCAGGAAACGGGCCAAGACGTCCAGGGCCCGCCAGAGAAATGTTCCTGGCGCTGATTTGCCTTCCAACCCCCTGCGCCAAGATAGCTTGACCAAATCTCTTATGGATTTCGCTTTGAAGTTTCCCGCTGACTGTGAACACAATGAGACTCATCTCAAGGCAGTCATTTTGCAAGAGGTGAACTCCCGTCCCCTTACGTGGACAAAGCTCATGTTCTACTGGAGCAGGAATGGTTGTGGGGTCAAGGTATGTCAGGATGATTGGAAGACCTACAAAGACCATTGCAGTTTCTCTTTCAATTCTTCTAGCGCCCCCAGACGATACCGATTAGCTGTTGCAACACGATGTGCTGAAATTGCGGCCACTTGATTATGTCAATTCTTTTCTGAAGATGTTAGGTGGTTCCCTTAAATTGTATATACACTGCGTTTGAGGCTATATGGAGTTTTCTTGGTGAAAAGGGTCCATGATTGTTCAAGAGATTTGCGACGTCAATCTTTGATACGAGTCCGGGGGGTAACTTGCCCCAAAATCTATGAACTTACCCCGCCGCATGGCACACCGCTTACCCCACGACCCCAAGAACTTATGCCATGTGCAAATCACCATGGCACACCGGCCCTCACGGACAGGTTTTTGGATTGGTTTGTTATTTTCCTAAGGGATTTGGTACATTTTACATCAGTTCGTGAATTCTTTGACCTCACCCCAAATGTCAAGGAACGCATGGCACACCTACAAGATGTTTTCTATCAACCCAAGTTCTCAGATGTAATTCCCATTGCCGGAACAACATATTTAATCTCTAAGAATGTCATCCATGATGGTTTTTCCCATTGGCACACCGAGTACATCCAAGTACTCAGGTAACAGTTTTCTTTTCTGCAGCCGATCACTTTGCCGATCCATGTATGTGCACATTGTTTTCATGAAGTTCCTATGCGGACTGCAACGCTTTGTACCGTTTATCTGTCTTAAACCTGACACAAAGCGTTGTAAACCGCATGGCACACCATCAACTTGACCTCTAGAAGACCAGGAGTTCAACATGTCATTATCATTGCGTTATTTTTACGAGATCCTTACGAGGTCTTTACGAGATCTGTACGAGATCTGGATTTTGCAAGACAAGGCAGCAGGGCAAGGCAGCAGGGATCTTTTCTACTCTTCCCTTCTCTGCTCTAGGCCTCTCTAATCACTTCTACTCTTCAATTCGATTCTCTTCTCTACTCTTCTGTATATAGTCTCTTCTACTCTACTCTTCTCTTCTACTGTTCTCTCTTCTGTGCGAGTCAAGCTATTGAGAAGCCATCCCCATGAGTTTCTATCTCAAGAAGAATATGTCTCAAAAACATGTGTGCCCTTGTAAAGTGTTAGAAAATTAATGCCACAAACAATTGATTCATCCAGCAAGAATGATATGTATATCATGGACTTCCCAACGGCACACCGTTTGCGGCACAAGAAGATGACCGCGGCATAAGTTACCACTTTGACCCAGTACCAATTTCTGGCTTGAATTTTGGTGAGAATCAATAAACCATACACGCAATGATAAAGTTCAAGACATCCCCAATATATAATATAGCTATCTTTGGGAGCATATTCTATATTTCCATATTCTTTCGTATATATCCATGCATGAATGTCCTTCGTCCAGCCGCTATATAAGGCTATGGGAATCGAATCGCAGATGGATGGCTACGGCCCGGGCGGGGAGGAGATTAAGCGTTTGAGGGTCAATGGGGCTTTGGCGCTGTTCTTCTTCGCCAACCAGGACCAAGTGGATTTGAGCCCGTCTGATGATGAAGCTTAATTAAGCTATACCAGCTGGGAGACCATATCTGTAGGGCACATGCAGATACGATGACGATCTGCTACTGGGAAAGTTTGGATCAACCCATGGCAAGTATATATATAGACAGCAGTTCTATATATACAGTTGGGTGCGTCTTGCCTGCTTTAGACCGAGGCTGCTCCGTGGGGGTTTTCCGGAAATATGATGTATCTTCAGGTTGATAGGCACTCGTGAGAACCCCTTTATTATTTATACAAACCTTTGATCACTGTTGTCATGGTTCCCCATGCGCTAAATTGGTTTGGAGCAGCTTCGAGTGGCAGGGATATGTGCCCAGGGGAGAACGCCATGGCACAACACGGATGAAAAAAATGATCGGCCGTCCTTGCCCCGGTGCATGCCTCAACCATCATGTCCCCATATAGTCGAAGATACTGAATTTGCGACTTGATTTTAACCGTGTGGTTTTCACAGACCAGGAAAGAAGACAGATCGATCCGATCGATCCTATCATATATACGATGGATTTTTTCAAAATTGTTTCAGACCTTCATCACTATAGACCCGGATGTCTCCCAAGCTCTCATGGCCATCCGACATCTTGGCTCCTGGGAGGCGTGGCAATCTCCATGCATCTCCAATGCCTGCGCGAAGGAGTTTGTTCAGAGTCCGGACCCAGTTTCGTCAAAAGAAACGACATGCCGGCCTGTTTTGATACTGTCACCCCATGGGATTTTGTGCCAATTGCCAATCGTTTTTGATCATTTTTGAATGCAAAGAGAATCAAAAGAATTCTCATGACTTGGAATGTGAATCACATGTTGCATGGAGAGTAGCTTGTCCTTGCGAACACTCCATGACAAACCAATGAGGCATCATATTTTCCGCAGCATTTTTGGGGGTCAGGCCCACGACATTTATATAGTGGTATAAGTTGTCATAGACGAGCAGTGGAAATCCACGGCTGCACCCATGCCCATCCCCGAACGGCTGGATTTGGATGCGTTGATGTACCGCCTCCTAATCTTCCAGTGTCCAAAGGTAAGAATCTGAGTGTGTGCATATGAACCAGCTGATTTGAAATATATATCTTGACGCAATGTATTGCCATTTGGTTTCATCAATCAGCCCCCGTTGATCGTTCAAAGCCCGCGCCTCTGAGGTCTTGGCTGCTTGCATCCTTTGCGTCCTATGGTCGTCAAATCTCTCCATGGACGAGGTTGCTCAGGGTTTGTTGATCGAGGTATATTGAGGTGGATAATGGGGAGAGTGGAAACGTCTCATGATATATATGATTATATATGCAATTTGTTTTGCAGATTCGATTGATATGGCGCCGCATGGAAGCCAGAATATATAAGTGGCCTAACAGGCAATAATATAGATTGAACTCTATATTTTGGGTGTCGCTTTGGGGCCCAAAAAACTGTTGCCCGCAGACCTACGACGTCTTGGAGTTCTATGCCGGAAGGGGCAACCTTTCGAGGTGCATGAAGCTCAGTGGACGCAGAACAGGGAGTCTGGATCTCCTTTATGGTAAAAAGGTCCGCTTTTCCAAGAACAACAGGAGCAACCCGATGGATATCCTGTCTCCATCAGGTTTTGCGTTGCCCGTCAATGGATTTAAAAGATTGTAAAGTGAATTCTGTTTTCTTAATTGATAGTCTGGTCAAAGTGATGACAGTATATAAAATTGTTTTTCAACCATTGGTGGATCCTGTAAGGTTGACGGTGGCTTGCCTACTAAAATGCAAGTTTGGCCGATTCTTATCATTTTTTGCCATCAAGTGTGCTTCGTGGACATCCATAAATGCTGGAACCTCCAACCGGTGTCCTTGTGCATCTATTGGCTTTGATGAATATGCCTCCGTCTCCCTGAGCAACAAGATGTTGGAACGGATTCTGGTTCAAAAGTCATGGACAATATTTTGTTTTATATATCATATCCGTTTTTGTTTGGGTATAAATATATGTTCATCGATTGTATATGATGATGATTTTGGATCCATATATACACCAATACATGGTTGAAATACATACCCTTTGCCCCGTTAAGGACGGTCTATTTGATGGTATTGACCGTCTGCCTTGGCGGGGTATTTGGATTGGAGCAGCCCAGGAATTCCAATATGGAGTTCTATCCCATGTTTGTGGAATTCTTGCGCATGATGTATGGGGTGCAACAATCCTCAAACAAACCTGGAAGTGGAGTGCTTTAGCCATGAATGATTGAACTATTTTTTTCACGCACTGGTCATATTATATATATATTTTTTTTAATATATATATATATAGCAAGTGTATATATATATATACACTTTTACTCTCCCATCCATGTTGATCCGGCCCGCCAAGGTTTTCAGAGTCGGCTGGTGGATGGGCCACTACGCCAGCCAAACACCAAAGCGGCACTTTGCATATTCAAACTCCCCTTGGGTCAAGAAACTGGACCGGGGGGTGTTGCAATGGAAAAACCGGTTGCATAAGGGACAGAAAAAAGTACAAACGGCAGTGGCTTACAAGTCCAAAACAGGTAAGAAGTGTTACCACGGAACGGCAGCTCTCAAAGGTACAGAGAATCTCGGGCTTAATGGCTTAACAACGGTTTTTCGATCCATATATAGTTTGTTTGCTATCCCCCTTTAATTTGTCATCAAAAGTTGAAGTTTCTGTACTGTTTTGCGGCCATATATACATTTAAAGGAAACCAATTTATCAAATTGCGATCGACATGTTGCAAAATAAATAGCGATCAATGATCCGATATATATATATATGATACCCTGCAAGGTTTAAACGTGGTTTATATGTAGGCAACTGCCAAAACCATTGTACTATATACAATGTCATGGTAAATACTTATATGGTTCATGCCATATGAAATCCCATATATATATATATATATAGAGATCCCCCATGCGTCAGGGTCAGGGTGTGCTGGGCCCATTCTCAAATCTCATTCAGCCTACATCAAATCCAATACATATTTTCCAACCCCTGCAATTTGGAACTAAGGGAATACACTGTTCAATTCGGACGGTGCCTGGTGGACCTCTTTGACAATTTAGTTGCAACTCCTTGTGGCATGCCTTCCCTGCCATCGTCGGGTGTCCCACCTGCAACGGTGTCTTTTCAGGCCTTGCCTGAAAGCGGCTTTGATCTCGGATACGCCCAGTTGGGGCAAGTGTACAACTATGTGCGTAGAGGGAAGAACTTGGTGATCCCTGCTGAGTGGCGTGATCTCATCCCAAATCCCCCGTGATGAACGGAAACAGCTTTCAATTTGCCATGGGATCGGTTTAGAGTTTCAGGTTGCCTTTCAATTATGGGGATCCCAAAAAGGTCATGGCGTGGAAAGGGCTTTATTGAGGCCCACAACCATGAAACTGTTTGGGGAATGTCCCATTGAATGCCCATATCCACGCAATGACCTCTTGTATCAATCCAAAATGGGAAAACCATTGGTCCTCCAACATAATTTTGATGGCACAAATGGTCACTTTGGTGTGATTTTACTGATTTTGGGGTCTCCAAATTCACAAACCGTAGAAAACCCATCGTTAACCGTAGAAAACCCATCGTTAACCGAAAAACCCTGGCTTTTGGGGAAAAACCAGGTTTTCCTAAACCGTCGGAAACCCGTAGAAAACCCGTAGTAACCCGTAGAAA